TTCTCTTTTTCTCTGTCTCGGTCTACAAGACGTCTGCAGCTAAGCAGCTCTGTGTGTGTTTATATTCTCGTGCTGCATGTTGGTGGCAACAGGGGTTAGCATGTGCCATCACTCCGTAGCTGCTGGTAGGAGGTCATGAGTTCAGAAGAGGACTTGTGTCATGTATGTTTTTTAAATAGAACGCCACGCATGCAGGGGGGTGAGTGTTGACACAACCCAGTATATTTAGCCCACTTTACATTGTCCTATATCTAGATTGTGTAACTGAAGAGTTACTGACCTCATAGGAAAGTATATTTTTATCACTGGCAAGCTCAGATTTGTCTTATCTTACCATTAGATCCGAGCTTTAGTTAAATGAGTTTATTTGAATTGACAGTGCGAGGGTGTTAGTCAAGCTGTTGCTCTTTTATTCCCCCCACCCACCCACCCTGAAGCAGTATTGTAATGAGACAGTGTTGAGTGAAGAGAGTGTATGAAACAGGATGTCCTCTAAAGGAAGACCTGAGGGTCAGGAGCTAGCGGCTGAATGCTAAAGAGGTTTGCTTTATCCCTGTAGAGCTAACACTGTCTCCATTCAGAATTACAAGTATATTGTAGAGTAAGGAGCTCAGCAAAGCAGCCCACTCACATGCCAGTTCTCTTTTCATGTCGAGAGAGTTTTTAGTGGGTGTGAATTTTAAGGGCCTGAAATATACAGTTTTCTGGAGTTTGAAGTGGTTAGTTAACCGCATTATATCAACAATGAAAAGCTGCATTATAAGACATGCTGGATCAATCTGAAAGCAAAAACATTTATATTCATTAATTAAAACGTTTGCAAAGCATGAGCCCATAACCAGTTTTTATGACAGACATGAGATTCATATTTCTATTAAGCATAAGAGCTTTTTCTAAGCTATGATGCACTAGAATATGCTCATGAAGTCACCCTCAGGCTCTTTTGTTAAAAATGCAAGTGCTTCAGTGTGCAGAAATAAGCAGCAAGTACAAATACCTCAGTCACCTTGTACTTTATTATTCTAAAGCTTAAAAAGTATACACATCAGGGTTTAGTCATTTTAACAGACTTGTTGGTGTGTGTACGTTTTGTCCTCATTAAATGGTTGAACTAAGATATAGCGAAACTGCTCGGGGTTGTATTATCAAATAACGGTCATCGTCATAATGCTATAATGCTTTACTATCCATATGTAAACAAGCACAAATGACTGATGGCATCACATAGTGCAGCCTGGTTTAGCAGTATTATGATATAAAATTGATACGAAGGTGGACACAGGCTGTAGCTGATTAAACCAGCATATAGACACAGACTTGTGGGTGTGGTGCTAGCTCTGCTAGTGTTAGACATACTCTGCAAACCAAATTGACATAATTCACCTGCAGACTCCTTGATCCTTGCTTCGTTTTTACAGTTTTTGTAGCATCTTCTTACCTACTGACTAGGGGTTTACCGATAAAACTTTTTTACTTCCACTACATTACCAATATTGTAGCCTTCAGTGTAAGCTAATACTGGTATTAATTCGATATTGGCTCAAACTCGTGCATGACAAGTTTTGCACTCAGCTGCATCATCTTTTTCAGAAAAATACTGCCACACAGCCGACATCACTCCTACTCCTTGCTACTTTGTTAGTACCTTAGTACACACTGTTGTTGTGATTATGTGGGCTCTGCTAGATGGAAGTGCCTGGGCGGAGTCTGGGAATGGACTGCTTGTATCGGAGTGCTGATATATTAGATTTTAGATGCGGGCCAATATAATTGCAGATACCTGACTGATATCCGGTATCAATATCAAATCGGGACATCCCTACTCCTCACTAGTCAGTTAATTGGAAATTTCAATTAGGGTTCAGACCTTTAGCTGCCCCAGAACATCTCGATCCTGTATGCAAACACTAGTGGCCCCCTGGGTAACTGACGCCTCACATACACACCATCATCCTTTCACTGTTTGGGTTTTCCTTGTGTTATCTTTTCTATCATTGTCAGCTTATACAAGTCCCTGTTAAATACAAAGGGCTGCATTTTGTTTAGCTGACTGTTTTAGACAGATTTACCATTCTATTACAGCTCTGTATTATTCATGGCATTGAATCTGTGCTGGCGTACATGCATCCAAGACATTGATTAAGGCGACTGTGATTCTGGTATCCATGTTGGAAAAGCTCAACTTACAGCAGAGTTGTTAAAGACAATGTGCTCATTGATTTAATAGGATTGTTTATCGCAAATCCAAAGAAGCATTCATTCGTAAGTGAACTTTGACCAAAGTCTTAATATTGATGCATTTACATATGTTTTATGTCCCTGTGTGTTCCCTCTAATCTCGTTTTAATCATGGTAAAGCCCTCAAAGCAAAGGGGAATGTTCTGGGATCTCACATTCTCCCTCTACTTTAATATGTAACTTAGAAAGAGACGTTACAAGGCAGAGCACACACAGACTCGTGTTGATTTAATCAATTTGTTTGCCCTCTATGCTCAAGGTGAAACTATATGCAGACAATCTATACTTTCCCTGGCTGCTTGAGTGGAATGCCTTTCATTTCTGTCACTCAAATAGTCTGTCAGGACGCACTGAGGGCACGACCAGTTTGAGCAGGCGGTCTGTCCACAGTGCATTACACAGTGTGGGGCTACTTAAAGCTAATACAGAAGGTAATATGTATATGTGTTGAATGGTTGAACAAATGACAGCTGCTGTCTTTAACAGTACAGCCCCCACCCCGACTCCCACCGCCCACCTTCCCCCTCGTTTAATGTTCTTAGCGAGGCCTGATGGGAAAGGACTTACTGAAGATTGACCTAGTTTACACGCGCATGTATGAGGTTCTAATATGTAATGCAAGGTCCGAGCCAATGAGACAAGCCCACTTCTAAGCATACTTTGCAGGGGACCTCATGACTCCTCCCAATTCCCCCCTGTGCAATTCAGCAAAATCTCTACTGTACAAGCTAGTCTGTCGTGTCTCTTCCAGCCTTACATTCACAGCCTAAGCCAGCTCTGTGACCTAAATTTATCCTCCCCACATGTCTCCTTCCCCCCGTCCTCTGTCTTTCTCGTCCTGCAGCACTGTGAGGTTTTGTGAGGATAAGGTTACTGTATTTGGAGAGAACAGGTCAGAGGAGCAGAGCAGCTAGTGTTGTGTCATAAGATCCCTCACGTCCTTCATACTCTTGCTGCCTCTGCTCCCACTCCCCCTCATAGCAACATGCAGCACCTGTTTCCTGATGGCTGCATGTTTCATCAGCGCTGTTCAAAGTATGCTTTGTCTAATCATGTGTACTGAAAGATAATGCTTTATTTCTGTGTGGAGTGGATGTAATGATGATCTGTGCTAGCAACGTGGCGATATTGATGTCAGCGCTGGTTGATTGTTTGACGCAGAGTATTGACTCGTACTGAAGTCCTACTGGATGCATTGTTACATCAAGTGTGCAGCCATTTATGGTACCTAGAAGATGAACCTTTGGGATTCAGCTGTATTATCTCCCAGATAGACAGGTTTCATACTCTGTAAATATCTTACACCCTTATTTGAAGTTCATACAGAAACATCAATTAAACTGAGTGTTCATGATTCCAAGATGATATACCCTTCACCTTTCCTGCAATGATAAGATTGTTATTTGTGTGTTCAACTGATTTATTTAAACTTTTGGACAGATTACAGAAACAGTTATTCTTGAAAAGTATTTTAATGTGTGACTTATTTTTTCAAAACAGTTGACAAGGTATATTTGCAAGAGGCTAACAGTATGTGTGTTTCATGATGAAAAGACCGTAACTTTAACAGCTCTATAATCTTTGTTCGTACAAAGGAAAGTCTTTGTCTAGTTTTTGATAACTACTCGGCTTCCTAGCAGCACATTCATACTATTAATCTGGAGATTAATAACACTGGAGAGCACTTAGTCCAGTTTCAGAGCGATTGACTGCACTGTTATCTATGTATGTCAGTTGAAGTTCGATTTGGTGAGATTTCATTCATACTAAATAGGGCTGGGTGATATGGCCTCAAATCAATATCACGATATATTGAGCAGTTCACCTCGATGATGATAAATGGATGATAACTACTCAACAAGCTGCTCACCCCCTCCCACGTTAACTTGGTCTACTTCAGCCGCCGCTCCAGCCACTACAATTTTTGCACTGCCCTCCATCTCCTCACCTGTCTTTCCCTCTTTGCTATGGACTGGATGAGGTGGAGTCATGTCTCTGATGTAGGACAGCGTCTCAAAGGGACATGAGACAATAGCCAACCTACACACATCCAAAACCAACTTTTATTTTTTTATTTTTTTTGACACCGAATATACCAATATGGGCAAAATGACTTCGGTTATTGTCGTAAATTTTGGTATCTGTAAATTTTCGGTTTATCGCCCAGCCCTAATACTGATGCATTTATGTGTTTTTAAAAAGTCCAGTTTCAACCGTACAAAGGCAATAATTCGATTGTTTTGTAAACAACATGTAAATATACCGTGCAGTCCTGTGTGTACTTAGTCTTGAGTGCCCCATGGGTGTTTTCCTTCCTGTGGACTTGTTGTCACTTCAAATTTCAGCTTGAACAACCAGGTAATTATCCACCCTGAACGTTTCTAATCACAGAACAAGCCTGAGTATTGTCTAGCTTTTTTTTTCATCTCTATTTAACAAAACATAACAGGGTAAGCATTGGATGTGCAAAAACTCTGCAACATTAGCCATAATGTTAATCTCAGTCATGTTTGTGGCCTACTGCAGAGACAGACTTCCTCTACAAACGCCTTATGGAGCTATTTGCATGAATGTCAAACCGTACCCTTGAGCAGTTTAAACAGAGGTGACCTAAGAAATAAATTACCATTTTGTATTTCTCTGGCTGTCAGTATGTATTTCCATATCACCTCTTTGACCTCCTTGTCTTTTTTTCCCCCCTTCTTCTGTCTCCAGTCTGATGTGTGAGAGTGCCGGCATCCCGCTCCTCCACCACCACCACGATGGTCGACATGGAGAGCCACTACCATCCCCCTTCGCCCCTGGAGGACTCAGTGCTGGGAAGCCCCCTGTGCGTCGATGATGAATTCATGGGTGGCATAGAGGAGCTCCAGGACATCTCGCAGTCGATCGACAATGATGCCCTCAGCTCCTTTGATGTCCCTGAATATCAGTCGTCCAGTAACGGCTCTGAAGGTTCTACTGTTCTAGGTGAAAACTCCTCATCAAACCGCTCATATTTATCTCTCAGTATAGGAGTTAGTTATTCTCTCACTCCTGGCCGATTCAGTGTAATCTCCTTGCTGTAGTTGTCATACTCTGTCACTTAAACCTCTTAATATCTAATTTGTTCTAACATAACCTTACCAGAGGACTTCCTGTACACACTGGCTCATTTACCACTTGTTTAAATCGACATGAAAGCTGGTCTACAATCCTTTGATAAATCATTTCTTTACACACTTTGTTCCACTTCTTAATCTCCTGTCCTTCAGTCTCAGCCTTGTTTACTCGGTCCTGATTCCTTGATTGTTTAATACCTTTTTCTGCGCATTTCTCTCGTTATTTCCAGCGCTCTCTCTCTAGATATCAACCTCTTATTTTCAGGGCTGTCTCGTTTCACCTCCCTGTCCTCCTCCAGCCCTTCTCCTCGCCTCATAACTATTAAGGAATTCACACATTCCTCAGCCACCATGCTCCACCGCTCAGGAAACATCCATTTTGCTGCTGTGTTTCCTCTTGAATAAGAGTCACACTGGCATCTCGGGGAATTTATGCCTCCACCAAATTATGCAACAAGTGAAGAAGCTGTGAATAGCGTGGAAAGATAAACATAAAACGAAACAATAGAAGGGGTGCGAGTGAGAGGGGAGGAAGAAAAGAGGGGGAAGCTCTGTGGAGCAGGCATCTCGGAAACATTTGATGATGTCATGGAAAAGCCGCTGAGGGTCTGTTAAGGATTTATGGGTGTTTGGAGGGGTAAACAGTAAGAAACAGAAGCAGAAGAGCCACTGACATGCTTGTCTCGAAACGTGTGCGCTTGAAACAGGCAGAAACACAACTCCGGGTCAGCTGCCAGCTACTTCTTATCCCTGTTTTGGCGTTCCTCGACCAACTCATGTGGCCTGACTTAGTGCCTCTGTTTTTATCGCTAATATTTGTTTACCAGGTAGGTTTCAACCAACCATGTTCTCTGAAGGTGAAAATCTAAACTTTTTGGCAACCTGTGGCAAATCTCATGACCCAAAGTCCACAAGGAATAACAGAAATACAACCCCAGGGATAGGAGGAACACCGCAGGAGGCCTTTTAATATCTCAGAGTGAATAGCTGCAAAGGAACAAGCTGTCTATGTCAAAGTTCAGACCGAGGTTTAATTTCACTAATACCTTTCCAGGAGGAGATAGAGGTCACAGAGAGGATGTGTTATTTTTCTGTAGTGCTTGGTCAAAGTCAAGTTTCACTTAACTCTGACCAAGTACTAACTGAAACATTTACAAAAGCAATAGATGCTGATTCATGATTAAGTGGTTGTCCAAAGTATTAATAATCGTCCATGTCAAGAGTTCAAGAAGTGAAAGATTCAAAAGGTCTGATGTACGGAAGCTGAGAACGACCATGGATTTTTTTTAATGCAATGTTATCTCGTGATAACTACTTATTATCTCAAGAGAACAAAGTTCGTTTTCTCAGAATTATGATAATTAAGATTTTTTTCTCATGATAAAGGCGTTTTGACTGACCCCAATAGTAACTTCTAAAAAGTTACAATTATTATTTCTGAAACGCCGTCGCCACCGTTGCCAACAGCAAGTCGGAGTTTTTAATGAAAACGCTGTTGGCATGCTCCACTTTGCGCATTACCTTTCAGTGTGGGAACATTTAACCGCCATGCGCGAATCAATGAAAATGAATGTGTGACGTCAGCGTTTTCATTGAAAACCCAGAGTTGCTGTTGACAACGGTGGCAGTGGCATGTCAAAAATATCCTGATCTGGAGGGCTTTTAAAAGTTACAGTTTGAGGTCAGCTGAAGCAACATTTTCATTATCCCAGGAACGCAGTCTTTTTTATGTCGGGATAACGAGATATGAAGTTGTTATCACAAGATAAAAGGACATAAAAAATGAAAAATCCATGGCTGTTCATGGATCAAAATATCACTGAAATTTTGTAGAGAAAAATTGTCTGTCGCTTCAAGCAAGTTGTAAAAAGCTGAGCTGCCTTACCCAGATTATTTTCATCATAATTTTTTGACTGTCCTTAAAAATCAGTGTTATCGTCTGTTATTTGTGCTGTTACTCGTTCACCTTGTCTTCTGGACCTAGACTCCAACTTTAACTGAACTCTTAAAAAATGGACAGTGAGAGGCAAAAAAAGGAGGTAATGAAAGGTGAAAGAGACAAAGGCAAAAAGATGAGGTGGAAAAGAGGAAAGAAGCAAGGGAGGATGGGATTATATAATTCAGATATGACTCTACTGTGTGTGCAGGGCAATTTAAGCCATTGTGTCCCAAAGCGATTGAACGCTCAGATAAAGGTGGCAGATCAAGAGAGGGTGAGCTTGTCTGTGTTCAAAAACAAAATCAACATCAGCGGAGAGCAGGTAGCTTTTCCTGACTGGATTAGCCTCGGGCTCAGCAGAAAAAAAATGTGGATTTGTTTGTTGATTTCTTACCAGAAAGGCAAATTATGCGCTTAGAGGCTCAGAAAATCATGCAGAGGTAAGGCTGGAGGGAAATGCTTCAGCTTGCATGTCTGAAATGTCTGATTTCTGATTCTCTTTGGCTGTTTTATCTAGTTAAAAAAGAAAAAAGGCCCCAAAAAAGTCTGTCTGAAATCAGAATTGCCTGTTGTGTTTTAGAGGATGACTCAGCTGCAATTGTGTGGCTAACTGATGTGTTTTTAGTGATCGAGGAGGCTCCTTTCACTGGCCTTATCTGCAGAAATACAACTTGATATTTGTATTCCATGGGATCTGTGGACAATAAGTCAGAGACAGCCTGTCCTCACAGCCTGTCCTCACATGTCCTTTGTTTGCTGTCAGTGTTGGTGTTGCCTCAGGATGTTTCATCAGTTGGTAGTTTAATCACCCGTCTGTCTTTGTGTGTTGTAGACGCCCTGACACCAGCATCCAGCCCATCATCGGTTGTTTATGGACTGGCAGCGAGCCAAGATGACTTCTCATCTTCCTCCTCATCACTCAATCTGGAGTGTCGAGTTTGTGCTGACCGCGCCTCTGGGTACCACTACGGAGTCCACGCCTGCGAGGGCTGCAAGGTGAGATCAAAATTACACACTTGGATTACACAGTCAGACAGTTATAGGGCTGGGCGATAAACCGAATTTACGGATACCAAAATTTACGCCAATAACCGAAGTCATTTTGATGTCAATATATTTGGTGTCAAAAAAATAAACAAATAAAAGTTGGTTTTGGATGTGTGTAGGTAGGCTATGGTCTCATGTCCCTTTAAGACGCTGTCCTCCATCAGAGAAGTTGCCATCCTGCAGATTAGGGCTGGGCGATAAACCGAAATTTTACCAATACCAAAATGTGTGACAATAACGATGTCATTTTGCACATGCCAGTATAAGCAATGTCAAAAAAATAAATCAATAAAAGTTGGTTTTGGATGGGTGTAGGTAGGCTATGGTCTCATGTCCCTTTAAGACGCTGTCCTACGTCAGAGACGTGACTCCACCCCATCCAGTCTGTAACAAATAGGGAAAGACATGTGAGGAGATGGAGGACAGTTCAAAAGTTGTAGCAGCTGGAGTAGATGAAGTTAATGTGGGAGGGGGTGAGCAGCTTGTCGAGTAGTTATTGTCCATTTATCTTTATCGAGGTGAACTACTCAATATATCTTTATATTGATTGAGGCCATATCGCCCAGCCCTAGACAGTTAGGAGGGTGTTATTGTGAGGATTTAATCCAATATCTAGTGTTAACACTGCTTTCTCTTCCTCTGTCAATATTTCCGTCAATATCTTTGCATCAGAAGCCAAGGATCACAAACAGCTCTTTTATTGAACATCACTGACTTCCAGATCTGAGATTTCCAAGAGCTTCAGTAAAGAAACTAGGACAATAACCCAGAGGCAGTGTGTCTTGTGACCACCTAGTCATACCCCTGAAAAGCATCAAAAACATCAGGCTGTGAGGTTACATGTTGCTCAGTAATCTATCAGTTAATTCTTCACCAATCCTGTTGAAGAACAACCAGAGGCCGCTCTTCAAGCCACTAGAGGACAAGATAACGTTGCCCGAGGTGTCAGTGTGTGACATTTCCTGACATTTTGAGCCTGTGATTGTGTTTCAGTATTCTGTTTTCTTTGCTTTTACATTTCATGTCAGAGGAAAAATAAACTGTGCAGCCTCAGAAGATAAAGATTTTTCCATGTCCCTTTACTGTGAAACTTGTGGGACAGCAGTGGGAATACAAATGTCAGGAAGTGATACACCATGTCACCATGCTGTTACATAAACATTCACACACCAGCAGCAGCAGTTAACTTAGGAGTAAATCTGAGAAACAGATTATGTTTCAGTGTTTGTGCAATACTTTATAAACTGTAACTGTTTAATAGGACACAAGTATCCAACCTGGACAAAGACCTCAGTTGTCCGCAGGATAGAGTCAAAGCAACATGACCTTTGCGGTGTGAAGTCTTGGAGCTGTAAAACTATAGAACAGCAGGTTATCGTAGAAGTCAAGGTAGATTTGTTTAGCTCTTAGAGGGGGCAATTAAAAGTCCGTCTATCAGGACTGACCTGTGAGGTGCCGAAGGTGAGATAATGGTGAAGTCCGTACTGGTTGCAACATAAGCTGGAGCCGCTGAAGTCAGCGTTTCTCAATCAAGTCTTTCATCATGTCACAGTTGTATATCAAGATTGGCCGCTCTGAATTTGGACCTGGATTCATGATGACGTTTTTAAAGCCTTCAGTTAAAGCTCTAGTGAGTAACTTTAAGTAAAGAAGAGGAGTGCTGTGGGCCCAAAATCTGATCAAAGTAACAGGAAGTAGTCTGTCTGAGATCCACAACACTATCACACGGTTGTGATGACCAGGTTTTACGATGCAGGTGTTTTGATTGTGGCGTCAAGGAAGCATGAAGATGGTGATAAAAAGGGAATTAAAGAAAGTTAAAACTTGAAAATGCTTTGACTTGAAAAGAGCTCGATTTAGTAAAAACAGGAATATGCAGTAAAATTCAAGATGAGGAAACACTAAATCTGAAGACTAAGTAACACCAAGTGAAATTTAAGAAATAATAAATAAAAATGAAGTAAAAACAAAAGTAAAAAGATACTAAACTAAGAGCACCAAAACAGCTCATTAAAAGATGATCCTGACATTAAAACTAGACAAAGATAAATTCTAAAACTCTCCAACAAAATTAAGTAAATGATATAAAATTTAGTTAAAGACGAGACTAAAAAGGTACGTCTTGAGTTTGCTTTTAAAATCATTATCCAAATATCCATGAACGTTTTTCCATCCTGTTAATATGTCATGAAGCTAAAATAGGAAGACCCTGACCTCTGTAATGACCCCCTGACGATCTTTTTACGACAGTGGACACAAGCAGGGTCAGCATGAGCCCCTCTTGACTCGATGTCACTCTCGGTTTATATGGATCCTAATGTGCTGAGAGTTGACCTTTGGAGTTAAGTCACATTCAGAGTACATGCTCTCACGTGCTCGAAGTGTGCCTGTGTTTTATCATATTGTCACATCTTGTATTTGTAAGTGTTGTACTCTTTAGATATCTGTGTTTGTTTTTTGACACATAGACTATTTGGTTTGGCTCAGCGTGTTACTCCCTGGAGCTCTTTTCTGCCTAGCTAGCAAGCATGCAGCTAGGCCCCTCTGTATCCTGTCAAAGTTAAATGTTTCTTTTCTGTCAAGGTTGTGCAAGCGCTAAACTAATGGATCTGAGACGGACAGGCTCCATTTCCTAGGGAACAAATGAATAACGCCCACAAGTTGATTCTTTCAACATAGCTGATGGTCAAAATTATTCCTGGTTTTATACCAACAGCAATTTGTTTGATACTTGCTGTTATATTTTAGGTTTTACAAGCTGAGGGGAACGTTTTGCTTCCTGCCAGAGATGACATAATAGAACAGGGAAGTCTTGTCCTCATGTGAGCCACCTTCACATTTGACCTTTTTTTTCCTCCCCCCCCGATCGCTCCTGCAGGGTTTTTTCCGGCGGACGATCCGTCTGAAGCTCGAGTACGACAAGTGCGAGCGCCGCTGCAAGATCCAAAAGAAGAACCGCAACAAGTGCCAATACTGCCGCTTCCAGAAGTGCCTGTCAGTGGGCATGTCCCACAATGGTGAGTCCTGCAGGGGTGAAGCAGGTCTGGGCACACAGACACACACACACACACACACACACACACACACACACACACACACACACACACACACACACACACACACACACACACACACACACACACATACTCACTAACTCCTGCATGGTTCATGTTACTTGTAAACACACACTACTAGCACACTTCTGCAGATGACAGACAAGACAGATAGAGCCGGCACGTACACAAATAATTAGAACACATGAGTAATTGAACACCACAGTCGGGGTTTGAGTTGCACGTCAAAGTGAGTTACTAACTGAACACTAACGCAGACTGTTAGACTGATTCTTTTAAGTTTATCCATGTGAACGTTTGGGAAGTCTGCATTTGTCCTAGAGCAAAGAGCAAGAGCACCTAGATCTGCAACATATGATGTTACACTTCATCTGGTTGAGCGTGTTGCAGATGTCACATTGATTGAGTCACAATGGATAGTGATTGCTAAACCCAATGACCCCTTAAACAAGGAAGGAAATCCCATCATGACTAAGTGACTCTACCTGTGTCATGAGTGGATTTCTTGTCCCTGCAAAACTTGTCAGCCCAGCTCTCCAAACAGTCAAGACCAAACCTTGAATACATTCTCTAAATAATCCAGTTGTAAGTTGCACACAGGAACGTTTTTCATAACTTCATTTTCCTGCCATGATGACTAAATTCAGACTGGCTGTTTTTGTTAAGTTAAACCACATTCTGGCTTTCCAGCGATCGTTTTGTTTTATTTTGTGTTCCAACACAGTGATCTGAGATAACAAGAAAAACAGTCGAGATATGAAGCAAAGAAAAGTAAAATTAGAGCATTTGGGGAAACAGGGAAGAATGAAATATGAAAACATGCACATTCAAAGATTTGTAAACACCCGATAAATGGTGTTCTCAACTTTTCAGCGTTTCCTGTATTTTATCTTTCTGAAGTACTGAGCTGAAATTACAAGATTCTAGTCAAGTGTTTACTTTATGTAAACGAAACTTGACATCCTGACCCTAAGTCAAGGCCAATGTCTCCAATGATATAGGAGATAAAATTCTTGTTTGTGGGGGTTGTTTTTTCTTAAAAAGGATTATTAGGGCCACATTTAAAAAAAAAAATAAGGCTTCAAGATTCAAGTCGATTGTATGATTTTTTTTGTGTATTCATCTGTTCAACAAAGAGAAAATACAAAACAGGGTGACCACTTCGAGGGTTGTCCTACCGATAAAAAAATACAAACTTAATGTACAGCTCCGTTATAATCACCTTAAAACATTAATTATTTTACTCATATTGCAATTGAATCAGGAATGCAGACAGCTATTAGTTAAGTTTGCACTGAAACTTAATTTAAAACAATAAATCTTTGTTAAAACAACTTTAATAGGTGTGATGGCATAGTTTATCTACATGCCAACTGCTGTCTGTTCTTTGCTTTTATACCATTTATCATTGAAAATGTCACTTCTCCTACACTTTTGGACTCATTTACATATCTCTTGACTATCTTCGTGTCACCTCTGGTCCTCACAGTGGAGGTGGGTCCTCACAGTGGAGGTCTGCAGCCAGACTGTCTTCTCCCTTTTCCCCTCCACAAAAGCAGTTTTATGACTTTATTTACTTTGTGATTTATTCTGGTAAGGTTACGACTTAAATCTCAGTCTTTCAAAAGGGTTAATGTAATCAAAGACCTCACATATAAACTTCCTTTAAACACAGCCTGTATCTTGATGATGTTACAGTAATATTGTACAGGTTAGCAACAGTAGTAGCATTCCTGTCAGCTGTACTTCATCTTACGGTTCACTTGTATTGGGTTTCACTGGCCTGAGTGTAAACTTAGAGGAGGAGGAAGGAGATTTGAGACCAGTGTCACCTGATCCTTTTGAAATCTACGGGACAGCAGAATGGCTAATTTTGGACCTTTGTGCTTCAGTTTGTATTGACCTGCAACTGGTATCAAAACTCACTTCCTGAATAAACTAACATCAGCATTTCTTCCTCGATTTTCTTTTCCAGCTCTTATTGCATAAATGAAATTAGAAATTACTTTAAAAAATGAAGCTCCTTTAAGTTTTATTCATATACATAAGGATATATATATAAGAATAAAACTCAAGTCCTATTGGTGCAATTAAAACACAGTTTAATTACTAACACTTTGTCTGTTAATGAAACAGAAAAGACAATTGGTGTTGATTCTGATGAACAAAAGCTTAACACAGGAAACACAGGAAAATAAATAAAAGAGCGTTCATGTCTGAATCTGGAAGGATGTGAGTTTCTATCTCACAAATTAAAGGGGAAAAGAGGCTGGAAAATCTTAAATTTGATATTTTTAATCGACTTTCACAGAGAGAAGTGTCACATTTTTCAAATTTGTCGAAGAAATATCGATAATCCTACACACATGAGAGTGTCAATTCAGGTCTTAAATTTCTTAAAGTTTTCTGAAATTCAGCTACATCTTATAATTTTTACATCTTTTCTGGTTTTATTACAGCAACAACATCCCTTAATTATCACTCCAAACACCTTTAAATCCAAAACCTTGATGATAGATTATAAAATATAAGAAAAGAAATATTTATTAAATTTGAATCTTCTTGCACCCGCCTTGAAACAGCTGATTTTCTTGACTGACAGCCTGTCCCCCTCCCACCTTTAGCCCCCTCCCCTCTGGCCTTTCAGACTCATCCCTCACACCACTTCTTGGGACTTACGCTCAGCTTAACATCACTCACTTCCTCTCATCTTAATTAGACTTGGCTCCTGCCCAGGCGTCCACCGCGGAGCTTTAGCAGCTTCAGACACTACATCCACTTTGTGAGCAGTAATCTAATGGGCCCTCATGCTGTCTGCTCGCTCCGTAGCTCATCCCCGCTCAGCGCCGCTCAGCCTGCCCGGATCTGTTTCAGCAGTGGGTGGCTTGCTGAAAATACGGGGAAATCAGATCTCCTTTTTATACGTTTATAGTCTCGTAAAACGCAGGCAGTAGGCGCGGCTGGAAGTTAGTACTTAAGGGAGAGGTTTGTGTGTGTGTGTGTTTATGTGTGCGTCGGTGTGTTTGTGTTTACAAGAGTGTGCATCGGTTTATGCCCATTTAAATTGGTGAGAAAGGGGTTAAAAACAGTTCACCTGTAATCTCATTAGTTAAATGGGATCAGGCCGTCTGAGAGATGCCTGCAACCTCTCAAAGAAAAACAACTTTTGCAATTTTAAACACAACTTGTAAAACCTTGTCACCTGTAGGGCTGGGCGAAATGGACAAAAAAATTTATCAAGATAAGTTTTGCCATTCAGGTGATAACGATAAAAGTCCCGATAAAAAAATATTAAAGTTCCTATCTATGTTTTTTACTCTATTTTGAGGACACCAGTTGGCATAGTCACATAAGACACTTCACTTCAAGTTGAAGTGGTAGATTATTGAGAAAACTAACCACTGTCCGAAGTCAGGCGTACCTGACTGCACTCGTCTTTAACCCCAGTCTTAAAGGAAATCCCTCATGTGGAGCCTCGTTTAGCAACAAACTGCTCAGAGACGTCTTCTTCACCACCGTCGGCCTTGTTTGTTTGTTACTGTGATCTGTGTGGGCTACGGCTACGAGTCCGCGATTATCGTGAGATGGCAAATAGTTATCAAAGAAGAATTTTTCCGACGATAAATTAAGAACGATAATTTATCGCCCATCCCTAGTTACCTGTTGTGTTTGTGTAGAAAAGCAAAGTATTTTCATCTACCTCATTTTTAATAGAAACATACATTCTCCTTCTATTGTCCCCTTAGATCAATTGCGTCTGTAGATGTAATGTCATGAGACTGAAAAGAAAAAATCCTTTAAAAATCAATAAACTGATATCCATAAAAATCAATTAAAAAGAGTCATTTTATCTACTTTCAATGTTTTTTGTAAAATTTATTAACACTATAGCAGCTTTAATGACTCTAGTATCTGTGCCACAGCTGACAGACTCATTCAGGAAACACTAAGAAACGTAAACTTCTTTGCTCATGTTTGACTGTTGAGGGAAAAAACGGTCCATCAAATCACTCTGACCAAAATGTAAACAGCAGTTGTTGTGGTTTGTCTTTGAAAATCCTGATTAACAGCTTTCTCGTACCCCTCTGTGAAATATGAGAGAAATTTAAGGTTAACACTTCGACGCTATAGCAGTTTAGACTCCACCAGTCTGCTTTCTTTATTAAGTTTCAAAATCATGGCCTAAATTTTTGCCTTTTTCTCTCTACAGCTATCCGTTTTGGTCGGATGCCACAGTCAGAGAAGCTAAAGCTGAAGGCAGAGATGGTGATAGGAGACAGGGAGGTGGAAGACCCTCAGCTAGCCGATCAGAAGACGCTGGCTCGGCAGATTTACGAGGCCTACCTCAAGAACTTCAACATGAACAAGGCCAAGGCTCGGACCATCCTCACCGGCAAGACCAGCACTCCTGTATGTAATTTAATCGTAATGGGTTGGTGTATCAAATATTGTGTTTGTCCTCATAACCAGAGCTTCCTCACAGGTCCAGGCCTTACTATCTTGCAACCTAATAATTTATTTGTCCCTTCTGGGCAGATTTCATGGTTATTCTGAGCTCATCCAAAATTTGCAATCAAGTGAATGTCTCAATATGACCTGACAGCCCGTACCTCTGAGAGTTTGTGCTGCCAGCCAATGACAGAAATAACTTTCCCAATCACCACTGTGAGCCAAGTCACAAGCTGGAAAAGGAGACATCTGTTTGCACCAGATGATATAAAGAGCCAGTGTCAGAGCACATCACCTCTCCCTCTGCTGCCTGTTCTCCTCCATGACTGCAGTCTTTTAATCTACTGTCCCTGTGCAGCCTCTCTTTGATTTTCTGTACAAAAGGTAGACGAGTGGAGGGTCAGACACTGAAGCTTAGAAGCTCATGGATGGATTTGTGTAGGCGTGAAGGAGGTCAAGAGGAACAAGTCTGCCCAAGTGCACATCGATGTTAAAACACAGGGCTCTATTTTCATACCTTGCCGGCGGAGTGGCGTAGGCATGGTATAAATCAGGTCTGCCACGATGATGAGGCGTGCCCAAGCACACTTGGTATTTTGGTGAGCAGCTCAGCCTGGCGGAAGTATCCCCCCTCCCTAACTCAGCTCCTCTCAGCGGCATAAGTAGGAAAGAGGACGAGGAGAAGGCGTGGAGTGGGTTTAACACAGCCGAGTCCTGTTTTCACCAATCACATCAGCTTCTCTCCTCACCTTTAAATGCGCCACGGTCAAGCGTGTTGCAAATTTGGTAAACTAGTCGAAGAGATTACTGAAGACAGCAACGCCACAAGATGGCGACAGGACGCAGCCCCTCAACAAGTGTTGTGGTAGGCGCTGTGGAGGGCTTCCTCCACACTCTGTCAAATAAGCACAGAGGGATTTGGTGTGTGCTATGTTTTACCCACTGGTAAGACAAACACCTTTTGACATGTGCGCACTGCTCCGCCGATCAAACAAAATACCACTTGACCAGCTTCGTCCGCTGAAAGCTGACCAGGTTTTAACCGGCGTGTTTTTGGCGCACTTTCTACGCCACCGGCGGGCACAAAAATGTCACTGCGCCAGCTGATTCTGTCAACAACTCCCCCTACCGCACCACCCCATCCAACTTGGCGGAACTCGTTGCGCCTCAGTCTATTGAAATATTAAACTCACTGTGCGTTGGACTCCGCTGAACTAAAATACCACTGCGTGGGGTGTGCCACCCTACACCTTGCCGCCGGGGGGCACAAAAATAGAGCCCACAGACTTCTCCCCACAGCTAATGGAAGTCAAAGCTTATGGAAGTCAAAGCTTGACAAGAAGTCAGTCAAAAATGTATATATTGATATACTCTTGCTTTTAAAAAGACCTCATGGTGTCACAGGACCAGTATGCAACATAAAAGTTCCTATAAAAGTTATATTGTTTTGTTAGCTATAGATGTTTTCATGTTGCATAACTTTATTTCTGGTTATGAAAGACCAACCCACTGTTTAGATTAGGAGATCGTAAAGTTTTACACTGCTTCAACTTAAAGGTTGATCTAGGTCATCAACTTAGTTACTTGATGCCATAAGCACGCTTTCCATCAGGTTTGGCTCATCAGTCTCAAAGTCAGGGAAGGTTACTGAGCCATAAGTGTGTCACTGTTGACTAGGATTTGTATACACTGAATAAATACCAGTATGGTTTTCTGACTCGACTGGTTTTGCAGTGGTTTGATTAATCTGACAGCGTGACAAGTCTTGACTCGAGGTCTTAAATCTAAAAGAAAACAAGCAGCTTAAGACATACCAAGTTGTCACTGTTGCTCTCGGCTACTCTGTGCGCTGCATAATTCCTTTCTTGTAAATGAGATTATTGCTCTCAATGAGATTTTCCTGGTCAAAAAAAAAACATTTTTTTTAGAAATTTTAACTTTGATTGCTAAGATTGTGACTGTTGATAACATTGTCAGTCAGTGTTCATCAGAAAATGATAACACAAGGAGGCTCAGTGTCCTCTTGTTGTTTCAAGTCATGCAGTAGAGTGAGATTCTCATGTTTGCTGTGTCGTGATTTAATTATGTATACTCACAACATTAGAGACATCCCCTTCCTTAACAACTGTTAAAGTATTAGCATGCCATGATTTTACACAGAGACGGTAAACACCACAAATATTACCCTCCCTAAAGATCAAACACATCTTGCAGCACAGCTTTACAAATCATCTATGAATTTTCACTAGCCTACCTGAAGCTCTCTGCTAGATATAAGTCTTTGAATGCTTTCCATCAAACAACCTCTGGAGCACAGAGATAAATAAAGCTGAATGTGCTTATTTAGTCCCATGTAGCTCCAAGTATAACCAAAGTTAGTTATTTCTTGGAAAAAGTTGACCTACAAACCCCTTTGAGCCCCCATAAGGGTTGAAGCTGGAAGGGAATAATATTGTTGTGGGAATTTAAAGAATCAACAAGGGCTGTGGGCTTCTTACCTCTTTTAACCCCCACTGAGGGACCAGGTTCTCCTCTGGGTTTATGATAACAGCAGTGTATCCATTAGGAAAAGCAGATATACATTAGTGAGGGCTCATACACTGAAGAGGTGGACACACAACAGTATTAAATAAACATGTCATTTACATTGAGAGTTATCAGATTTGGCATGGACCTGCTCGTTTAAACTTTGTGCCTGATATGTCAACTCCTCATGTCTTTTAAAATACATGTCCCAAGTGATCTGACAAGCGTGGTTTGTCGACATAAAAGCACCTTAAAAATAAACGGCTCACTGTCATGTCCCTCATACTTTCCCTTGTAACTGTAGCCCACATTTAGCACAGCGTTCATTAATCAGAGCTTTTACAGTGATGTGCAGCAACAGTTGGAGGAGCTGCTGTTCAGATATTGTAACAAGTCAATTGTGGGGACGGGGACACAGCTTCTCACACGTACCTGCTGACTTAGCTCGCCCGTCTATACTCGTGTACATCTCATGGCTCGATGGTGTCTTTTCATGATGAAACACTATCAGACAACAGGACTAGAGTTTGCCTCAGTACGCCCACTTCACTGTAACACAGCTGTACTTATATTTCACGTCCAGTTGTTTCTTCATTAATCTGTGTTTGACTGTTAAAGAGTGACATTCATAATTTCATAGCCGTGGGGTCAAAGAGAATTACTATGTTGTCATGGAAACACCCGAGTGTCAATAAAGGCTTTGGGCTTATCCTCTCCTCCAGGTCAGGATTATGGGTAAACACTATCGTCGCTTTAGTTTTTCACGTAGAGACGTTGCTGATTCAGCTTTTCCCATATTTATGTAGTCAAGTTTGTGTCTATAGGCCAAAATAACAGAACACGCTGTACTGACAATGTACATACTCACATGTTAAAAGTAAATCAACTTTTTCTTTTTTTTTTTACCGAACCTTCACATATGATTCAGTCAGTTTGTCAATTAGTTAATCAGATAATTAAAGGGATATTTCGGTATAAAATTAAGGTAGGGCCAAACACACCATAACACTGAGTTAGACACCCCCTCCAGAGATGAATGTTGTCGACTGCTTGCTTCTCTAGTTATACCAACGATCGAATGATTTTCTTCTAAGGACTCCACAAGCTCTTTCATATATGTGCTCATCGAGGCTTTTTGGATTAAAATAGTGTTTTAAATTCCAGTTTTGGTAGAGAGCCGTTGCAGAGAAGAGAGAAATGATGTCTCATAACAGTCTGTCATTCTTTACCACCCACAGCCTTTCGTCATCCACGACATGGAGACCCTCCAGCTGGCAGAGCAAACCCTGGTGGCAAAGATGGTCGGCTCAGCGGGAATGCTTAAAGACAGAGAGGCGGAAGTCCGCATTTTCCACTGCTGCCAATGCACGTCGGTGGAAACCGTCACTGAGCTCACAGAGTTTGCAAAGTCTGTCCCCGGGTTCTCAAGCTTGGACCTCAACGATCAGGTGACTCTTTTGAAGTATGGCGTGTACGAGGCCCTCTTCGCCATGCTCGCCTCCAGTATGAACAAGGATGGGCTACTTGTAGCGTATGGCGCGGGCTTCATCACACGGGAATTCCTCAAGAGCCTGCGGCGGCCGTTCAGCGACATGATGGAGCCGAAGTTCCAGTTTGCAATGAAGTTTAACGGACTGGAGCTGGATGACAGTGACCTGGCTCTGTTTGTGGCTGCAATCATCTGCTGTGGAGGTGAGGAAGCAGGAAAAATGACCTCTCAGTTTTACTTTCGGAACATAACATCCTACTTTTTCTTTTGCTCTATTATTATACTTTAAAAGAAACCATCCCAGAAAGGAAGATAATCATGAAGCCATTCTGGTAATACCTTATTTTTGATCAACCCGTCTAACTCTGGTTTACTTTCCTTTCTCCCCTCTGTCATCAGATCGTCCAGGCCTGGTGAATGTGGCACACATCGAGCGAATGCAGGAGAGCATCGTGCAGGTGCTTCAGCTCCACCTGTTGGCCAATCACCCAGATGACACTTTCCTCTTCCCTAAACTGCTCCAGAAATTGGCTGACCTTCGGCAGCTGGTCACAGAGCATGCACAGCTGGTGCAGGAGATCAAAAAGACAGAGGACACCTCACTGCACCCGCTCCTTCAGGAAATCTACAGAGACATGTACTGAGGGTTGTGGAGGAATAACCCGGAGGGGATCCCTACAAATCAACTCCTTTTTTTTCAGGGACAGATAAAGAGTGCCCTCTATAAGCTAGTTTGAACCACTAAACCCCAATAATGCAGGAAAGAGTTAGCTTTGGCACCTGGATAGCACTGAAGGTCATTTTCAGGCCTTGAAATGGTGCTCTCCACTCCACTGTGGAGGCTTCATAGGCAGAAAAAGAGACATGTATGCAAAGATGTGATGTACAGTTGATTGAAACCCTATATAGTTACCAGTGTATGCAATCTTTGACCAAACTCTAAGTACGTTAAATTGGGATTGAAATATGTGTTGTGACCTCTGCGGTCATCTCTCTTGACTCCTTAACAAGCCCTAAAATGAGGAAAGAAAATGATCTTGATAGTCGCCACTCCAGAGTTTATTTAAAGCTAGATTTTTATACTGATGTCAAAGAGCAGAGAGCCATATATCCTCAGCTAACAACACCCAAATAACTTCAGTGGCAGCAGTAAAACAACAATAATGCAGTTTCAAGAAAGGCAGCTTCTGTCCGTTTGGCTGTCAGTCACGGTTGGTGGTGGTTTTCCATGCACCATCTCTCCAGCGTGTATCTTCACCTTTTTTATACCCACAGCAACTCTGAACATAATCATATAATTGTACTGTGAGTCTTCTAAGCCATACTTTGTTGATTTCTTTTGAATACCAGTCTCGGTATGAGTTATCTGCATGTGTGACCACAAACTACAGGTATTTTTACACTTTCAAATAACGTAGCAAGATCAACGTATTTTGAGGTTTTTCAAGACTGAAACGATCCCAGCTCACAGGTTTACTGTGCCCATGCACCACAATGCAAGTCTGAAGCACAAGCACGCCTGTGATTTTTATACTGGACCTCTGTTAAATGCCTTTTCTCTCAAAATACACACAGACATTTGGCACTCCATCCTGTTTAGTGATCTGCTTACAAGGGCTTACAAACTGCATTAAAACCGCCTTCCTTCCCACTTTAGTACCAGCAGGCTTGAAGAGGTTGAACAAAAAAATGAACACATCTGTTTTTAACTCGGTTGAGCCCCTGTTCCTTCAATTTGACATCTCATGGTTGTTTTTCTGACAGTTTTTCTCTCTGCCTTTTATTTTGTTCTTTGTAAAGTAGATTAATTTCATCAGTCTTGCATGAGTATTTTAAGATTATAGCAAAAGAAGAGCATATGTCCTCTTCAGAAACACACACAAAAAAATTATTATTTGGGAAATTTAATATTTGTTTTGGTCCTTTTGGATTAAGAAAACACTCATCATCAAAACTTTGCAATTTTTATGAATTTTGTCCTTTTTTGACATCCCAATATTCAGGTCTTGACTTTCCTTGTTGATCTTTTGGCATAACTATAATCAAAAAGCAAAAGCAAACACATGATTGTGGCAAACTTGATTTTTTGACCCAGTCAGACATGACTGTGGATCTGATAAGCATCTAGTAATGAGGAACATTTATCTGGATAATGCATGCAAAAAGGCACACAAAAAAGGACTCGCAACCCAGTGGACCTACAATTCAAACATGTTAATAAGGAAGTAGTGAAAGCATGCAAGTGAATTTGTAAAAGTCATTTTTTTCCCCCTGTTCTGCTAATCCAACCAAAATCTACAAGAATCACGAATTTATTAACACCCAATCAAGAAAAAACAAACCTTGTGTTTATAGTGATATGACATTGTATAAAGAGAGTGCACTGTACATAGCTGAAATGATCGCATTGACTGCTTGCTCCAGCTTTTAACTCTTGAGGTATACAAGGTACTAATGATGATCAACTTTTGTATTCCTCTTTTTGGTAAATACTTTGAAACGTTTGAGATTTTACAGGAAATGTAGTTATGTACTGTATGTTCTTTATGCTTAAATGCCGCATATTTGTGTTGAAATTGAATTGGATCATATTTTTATACTAAAGTATATATGTATGACTAAATCAGATAATTGTTTATTTGAGATGGCACCGCTGAAGAGTGCAGTGTAAATAGACGAAAGGGTAACAGGGCAACTGGTAATCGGAGTATCCATAAATCTGAATCCCGTTGGGGACATTCCTTTTGTTTAATGCTATTTTGAGATAGAGAATCATTAACCTGCATCTGCAGTACGCATTCAGTTCTTTTCAACCGTATTCATCTGTCAAGTAAAACCCTTCTAGTGTTAACTGAAAGCACTTAAGTGGGTCATACAGGGCTGAGACAGCTCACAACTTGAATCCGAATAAAATGAAAACACAGTTATCATTTGAAAGGTCTGCACTGATCCAATAATACTCTGTTCTCAGGTTGAAAAACAAACAGGTTATACAGTATACGCATCGAATTTTCTTATTGTGAGAAATCCTCAGTAGTTTCCTGTTCTCAAACAAACCAACCTTTTATTTTTCACTTATCACATATCTGTTGCTGATTCAACAGATAAACTGAATGCACTCATCATTTGCCATGACATTACATGCTTTTGCAGTGAAGATGCAGTAATGAATATGCAGTATGTAATGCTTTGAGATCCTTTTTTTCGTTGTTGTTTTTGTGCTTTTTTTGTCTGACTTTTCTCTCCTCACTCGCTGCTATGTTGTTGTACTAACTCACCAAACATTACTTATGCCATGAGTAGATTACTGACCATCAAGCTGCCTCTAAGTACATATGATATCTTCTTACAGAATGTCAGTCTCATTCTTTGCAGCTCAGTTTTCCCTCTTGCAGATATGCTTCAGGGTTAACCGTATACAATCCGTGCCTTAGCGTGTGCCCATGCCATAAAACACTAGAGATTCAGATAAAATACTTGACTTAAGCACATACACACTTTTAGAATCGTGAAACTGATGGGGTCATCAGCAGGGATTTGCAGTTTGCAACACCACATGGCCACGCAAACCGGAAAAGATGTCACAGTCTATTGAAAACTTTACAGCAAGAATAGGTATCAAAGTCTTTTTTGCCACAAATAAAGAAACAATGAAGGATATTCTTTGAAAAGGACAGACTTACCAGCTCAAAAAGTTTGAAACACTATTAGACCCAGGCCCTAGAGGAGAAGTCTTGTAAATTTGTGATGTCTGCTTACCCTTAGGAATGTCTGTTCTGTGTTGAATTGATAAGGGACTTCTGAACTTGTATCAGGGAATTGTAGTCTTCCTTTGTTGAACTAGCTCAGGACATAGAAATCTTCTCTTTCTCCTTTTTAAAAAAAAATCATTTTCTTTCTCTTTACCCTCTCTGGATTATACATTTATAGTGCTCTGCCTTACAGCACACAAATACAAGCAGCAAAACTGATTAATTTGTCATTTACCTTCATTTTTCCAAAATTGGCAGTAAAATGTAACCAGGGAGCAGCAGTCATAGAAATTAGGTATTTGATTTTTCTTTTTCCTTCCTGGATTTCATGGAGTTTGTTTTTGTGGCTATAGTGACGTGCGATGAGACATCAGAGACTGTCTTTGGATGTGTTGTTAATGTGTACTGTGGCGTGGTAACATTACTGTAAATGTTTGATGAATGTATATCTAGACATTTAAACAATGGAACCAGTTGACATTGAATGGATTTAAAATAAAATTATTTTAAATTCAACCTAATTTCACAGTTGTTTGTCTGATTTCTGAAAGACAATGCTTCACAAAGTGTATTAAAATGCTACGGATCTATTGGATGTAATTCTGACTGTCAACGAGACCCGCTCAACACCGCCACCTGTTGGTCTTCAGTCAGGTTGGCATCATGCTGCATACTACTCAGTTTTTATTCTTCTGCAGCCGCTCTGAGACCTGCAAGTTTTTTACCACTTTCGCATCAACTTCATTTTTCAAGACCAGAGGTTGCCGCTTGGTTAACACCAGATGGCTCGGTTAAATAAAGATTTCTTTCAGATGCTATATAGTTGTTCTTGCAGCCATAGAAATGGGAATATAAAGTTACATGTATCAGTCAGACTAAATTGGATCTTGCTAGGAGAAGTTGACTTATGAGGACAAAAAGCTGCTGTGATGCATGATGATCCATATATCAAGTTTTTACCATCAACATCTATCAATACTCCTGCAAAAATAAAGACAAAAAACATCCAGTCTTCTCTTCTTTACCTTCTTCCAGCTGGTGGCTACTCACTTGATACATGTTACTAGCTTGTCTGTAATTTTGTCCAAATATGGTGGTGCAAGAAGGCTGCCTTCGTGAAAGGTGGCCCACTCCTTATGTAGACAAAAGGCATCCTCTAAGTCAACAAAAACAAAGTAATTTTGAAAATCAGGCAATAAAGGGATATTCCGGCGTAAAATTAAGTTAGGGTCAAACACACTGTAACACAGAGTTAGACACCCCGCCGAGAGATGAATGTTGCCGACTGCTTGCTTCTCTAGTTATACCAACTTTAGTAACGACCACACAATAGCAATACACAGAGCCATGCGCTCAACCAAAATACATGTTCTTCCTTGAGCTGCATCCCCCTGCCCCCTGGTCTCCGTACAAACAAGCAGCTCCTGGAAGAGAGACGGTGACTTGTGTTTGGTCTCTTTGCAAAAGAAATTAGGCAAAGCTAAAAAGATGTTTGGTGGCTTGTACTATGGCTGGGACCCTATATGTACTGTTGATAAACTTAGGTGCTGTTCTGAGCATAATTTGTGGCTATAGAGTGGCGTTTTGGTGGAGGTTTGTGTGTGGCTACTCACACCGCTGTGTATTGCTATCGTCCTTCTTGCATTTCACTGATGCAAGAAGGCTGCCTTCGTGAAAGGTTGGTTACTCCTTATGTAGACAAAAGGCTTCCTCTGAGTCAACAACAACAAAGTCATTTTGAAAATCAGGCATTAACTAACTAATTTAAAGGGCTACTTATGAATATTATGGGTCCATTTCGGCCTTTTCCATGCGCAGCTTAAAACTACACACTGTACCTTTAATCTCATTGATTTTTTTTTCTCAAAATCCACCAGAGTAAAAAATCTCGGACCCAGTACACTAGAGGGAGTCCTACTCCTGACTAACTCTTCATGGCTGTCATCAACTCCACCTCCTCCTTCTAGTCACATTTTCCAACATGGCGGCCTCCATGGCGCGGACCTACTGTTACCTATCTCGGCATGGATCCTGTCTTCTGCCTCGGTTGAAAACTCTTCGCCTCACACTCAGGTCGAAGTTTCACTGTTCTCCCGCAGCCTATGACGGGCTGCTCTTTTCTCTGAATAAACGCGGTATTTTGAAGGAATCCTTCCCCGAAAACGCAGCTCAGGACCAGCTTCCTCAGCTGCTCCGGTCCGATACTCAGACTGTTTACTGCGGCTTTGACCCCACGGCAGACAGCCTCCATGTGGGCAACTTGCTCGCTATCATCGGCCTGCTTCACTTTCGAAACGCCGGACACCATGTCCTCGCTGTGCTGGGAGGGGCCACGGCACAGATCGGGGACCCGAGTGGGAAAACGACCGAGAGGGAGCGACTGTCCTCGGAGACCGCAGAGGAGAACACCCGGAGCATCCGAGAGAGCCTCCAGAGGATCTTCACCAACCACGAACTGTACTTTCACGACGGCTCGAAGAAGCTGGGAACTTATACTGTAGTGAACAACCTGAGCTGGTACAAGGACTGGAGGGTGGTGGACTTTTTATCCAAGGCTGGGAGACACTTCAGGATGGGCACCATGCTGAGCCGTCACAGTGTTCAGTCCAGGCTGAAGAGTCCAGACGGGATGAGTCTGACTGAGTTCACCTACCAGGTCTTCCAAGCTTATGACTTCCACCACCTGAACCAAGTGTACGGCTGCAAGATCCAACTCGGGGGTACCGACCAGCTGGGCAATTTAATGTCCGGACATGATTACATTCACAAGTAAATGTCCATCCTTCTGTCAAAAAGTGTATAGAGGCATGTAGGGCTGGGCGATGTGGGAAAAAGTTCAACACAACCAGGGATGGGAATCGAGAACTGGTTCTTGTTGAGACCGGTTCTCGATTCCCATCCCTATCATGTGGAGGGATGGAAACTGAACCGTTTAGAACAACCGGTTCCAAAGGGTTCAATCATCGACATCGTTTACATTTCATCTGAATGATTTCCTTGACGATTCCTTTCTCCCAGATGCTTTGGAAAACAGTCTCGTGAGAGGCAGTTTACGCGAACAAGAACAGAGTTTGTGGAAAAACATGTCGGATGGTACAAAAAGTAGGCAGAAACGATCTAAAGCTTACCAAGAAAGACGACAACGAGTTTTGTATGGAAGTTTTGAGTTTGTGTAGCATAGACTAACTGGGTTTAAAGCGTGTGAAAAACACTCGACCCGACCAGAAAAACCGTCAAAATTTTGCGTGCAAAATTTCCAAACCTCATTGGAAACTCATGTGATTTAAGATTATTTGGTTTTTGATAACTTTACGCATACTCAAAACTATACCTAGTGATCCCAATTGACATCTTAGAAACCTACCTGCAATTCAGCATACTTAAACCTACCAAGAGACTATTATTATGCGTAAACCACACCTTGAGAAACTGATTGATTTCTACTGTATATCTATCAAACTCAAACCAATAGGCTTGACTCTGCTGTCTTTGAGCCAAAGTGACATTCAAAGTTCTTGTCTTACATTCCAAGTTCAATACAAGAACAAGTGGGATCGGTTAAAGCGTTTTTGTACATCTACCAAGATATACATGACCAAATATTTGTAAAGGTCATCATTAAATAGCCATGTTTTGCATATTGCAGTTTAGACAAAACTTTTATAACATTGAGAAACAATTTCTTTGGATGTTTTGTTGCATAACATGACCTGGGAATCGTAATTCCTTTGAAAGTTGAATTTTCGGCCAGCCTTGGAGCGTGCAAAATAACATCGTAAACATGCAGTTTTGACACCATCTGATCAATGGGTTTTTAACTAACCTGTATGTGTTTGCAGAGTGAGCGGAGAGGAGGTGTACGGTCTGACCATCCCTCTGGTGACCAGCTCTGTTGGGGACAAGCTGGGGAAGACAGCGGGCAATGCAGTGTGGCTAAACAGAGACAAGACATCTCCATTTGAGCTTTACCAGTTCTTCCTCCGACAGCCTGATGCCAGTGTGGAAAGGTGGGTGAAATTTAATCTGGGTTGTAATAGTGAGAGAGAGACCTGCTCTCCATGACTACACACATCAGCTGGATTACCCAGAATTCAACATACTTTGCTCATTGTAATAGAAGGTTGATGTATATGGTTTGATTTGTTTTGCAGGTTTCTGAAGTTGTTCACCTTTATGCCTCTGGCAGAGATTGAGAGTCTGATGGAGCAGCAACGACAGGATCCAAGTAAACGCCTCGCACATAAACGACTGGCTGCTGAGGTGACAAAACTGGTGCATGGAAAGGAGGGACTGGAGAGTGCGAAGAGGTTAGAATATGTTTTTTTTTTTATGAATAATTGCATGTTTTTCACACTAACCTTTTACAGGTACATTCATTTTTTGGTCAATTAATGTTGAAAGTAAACACAATATTAAATCTCTAACTTCACTTGGTTTAAATGACTCATATAAAAATAATCAATTCAATGATTGCAGGTGCACTAAAGCTCTGTACCACAGCAGCGTGGAGGCCTTGGAGGAAATGAGCGACGAGGAGCTGCAGGAACTTTTTAAGGAGGCTGCTTTCCATGAACTGTTGTTGGAGCCAGGAACCACGGTGATAGACGCCTGCCGCAAGGTTAACGCCATCCCAGAGGGACCCAAAGGGTGAGCACCATAATCCTATTGTTTTCTTATAATGTGACTTTGTAGTATTAATCTGATAAAAATGTTAATTACAAACCCCATGGTTCTAAAATAATTGGAGCTGGTTGTCTTTGATAAAAGCCTTTATGATGCTACATAACATAGGAATTATGTGTTTCCATACTGAGCAAATCAAGACAGCTGAAACTGAAATTTAGCAAGTGTACTTTAAAGAGAAAGATGAACATTAAAGGGTCAGTCTGCCATATTTTCCTAAGCTTTAAAACTTACATGATTTTGTGATTTTTATTCTCAAGAAAAAGTGGTTTCAAAGAAAACTTGAGACATTAAGTATAAACATGTCTCTGTGTCTGAAAAAGGGCTATCAGATTTATTTGAAACATCTAAGCATTCTTTCAAATCTAAAGGTAGCTCATATTTTAACTGTAAAGAGCTGTTGAATGTGTCATTGCACTCAGTGTAGTTTGCCTTTTGATCCAACAGAGGGCACTCTTAAAATTTCTTTTGAGCTTCACCTCCTGCAGGCTGTATAGACCAGGGAGTGAAAGTCAGCTTTATAATGCTGTGAACAGTTGTGTGACATTTGCAGCAAATCAATCCCTCTTTACATGTTTCCTGTTATTTCCAGTTCATTTGCACATATTACTGAAAACACTACAGTTGCCTTGAAACCAGACCCTTTCTTTTCCAACATTTCAGAGAAGCAACAAAAATGTTAAAACGTAGGTATAAAAAATCAGCACAGACAAAAAGGGGCCATCAGGTGTCAAGCAGTAGGTTATATTATAAGTATACAGGATACTAGATTAATGCCAATATTTTCAACCCATTTTGGCTGGATGAGCCCCAGGCTGCCACCCCTGCTTGTGCCCTCATCCCGGTGCGTTTCCTCCACTGATAGGTTACATGCCCTTTTTAGTATCACAACCTAAACAGTAATGCCACTTTTAAAAGACCCTGGCTCTGTTTATTTGAACTCCAATGCTGTTAAACTGTAATGGGGATGCGCAATATTATTGGCGTGATACCTGAACCAACATTTAAAGACCCACTCCGATGAAAATCATGTTTTTCTGGTGTTTCATATGTTCATGTCATTTTTCTGATGCTACGGGACATATCATGAGAAAACTAAATGGAAATTGCTTTTCTGAGTATTTCTTTATTCAAATCGCTGCGAATCTCTGACAAACCCAAATGGCAAGTTCAGAAACAGTGAGAATTTATACGTAACCAATCCAAGCTCCGCCCACGGAGCCTCGCTATGCAGGCCAAACTCTGCATATAGAGGAGAAATACAGACAATCGCGGAACAAGCGTGTGCGCTAGCAGATTGCAACACTTGTAAGAAAGCTAATTTTGATATTTGCTTTCATCGTGTCCCTCAAGACATTAGTGTCTGAGAGCTCAATAGCTCCAATGTTTCCTGCCACTTCACCACACCGGCAATGTTAGGCTACAAGCTAAGGTGAAGAGGAGTGTGCAGAGCAGCGTTGTCTTCGTACACGACTCAGAGGCGAATTGCTAATGAGCTACTGGAGCTCTGCAGAAGAAAAGACCTTGAAAATGACACAGGTAATGTGATTTTTGGTAAAAACTTCATAATCACAATTTAAAGACCACTGAGACCACTGAACATAGTAAAAGGAAAAACGATTGGAGTGGGACTTACACAGCTTAAAATTGTCAACTATTGATATAGACTGTCCTTAAAGGGGCAAGTGTCTTGTATGTGTTTTCTCTGACTAGTCATCCTCACTCCACTCAGTTGCCTTAAATGAAACTGGAACCTGTTATCTCCAATTCACTCGCTTTATTAGATATTCATGCATTGATGATTATGTAAGTTTAAGAGTCATCAGTTTTTTTTGTTTATTCACGGTACATGAGGTGTTACATAAAAATATGGAAGTGCAAAGAAAATCTAAACCTGTATATTGACTTTATGCAAGATGCAGTTTTGCAGTAGTACAGGATGATGTCTGTTTTAAAGAGAAAACCCTGATCCTTCTGTCTGTCTCTGCGTTTGCCTGCAGATATCGAATGGTCTCAGAGGGAGCTGTGTGGATCAACCACAAGCAGACAGAAAACCCGGAGCAGGTACTGATCCCTAAACTGCACATACTAGCCAATGGACTGACTTTGCTCAGAGTGGGAAAGAGGAACTTCTGCATCATCAAGTGGCTCAGTCTCTGAAACTGCCTGCCTTTAAGAAGAACCAGTGTGACCTGTGATGGACTGAGCGGGAAGGTAGGGGACTAAACTCCTTTGCAGACTCACTGAGGACACATGGATGGACTGATACTTTGGAACATTCTGGGTTTATGGCTTTACCAGTAGCTGTCAAAAACTATTTATGTACAGATGTATAATGAATGTGAAGCTATGATATTAAAAAGCATTTGATATAAAGATTCTTGCCTGCTGAATTTGCACTGCTACACATTTCTTCTGCACTAGAGGGCAGCATTGTTCCGGTCATGGTGATAGTGCTGCAGGCTTCCACAGCTGCACCACGTACCCTGCTGTGACCCCCATAGGTAAATAATTACTCACATTAAAACTAAATTGCATCATTTCTCACAAACAGGTTATGTGTCTATTTTAAGCACATAGTGTTTAATTCGGGCTGATGCAAACACGAGGCCAACAGCTGTCTCGATGTGGCTTTTATTTCTGACTGAGAGGTGGAAGGTGTAAACTGCCGAGGACAGAAAAGAAAAACGGTTTAAGACACTTTTAAAATAAGGACAGAAAGCATACAGTTGATTTTAAGGCTCTATAAATTGGGTACTATGATAAGTATAATGTTTTTTCGAGAGTGGCAGTCGATTTTCATGCAGAAGGCCAAGTTTTCAATGTGGTGTAAACAACTTTTCTCATTTCACCATGCAGGGCCTTGATCTGCCATTTTTTCAAATTTCTTTCGAGGGTACAAACTTTATTCTTTTGCAGACTTTGTTGTCCAAAGATTCAACCCTACATTTGTTCTTCTTTTCTCCTGGGGGTAGATTGAGATGAGGACAGGGTCTGGTTTGTCTTGACCTTGACTTACCCCTCTCAGCTTCTGTGAATTGAAAATAATGTTTCACACAAACATATTTGTGTGATTTGTACATTTTTACTTTTTCTTATTTTTGACAATTAGTTGAATGTTTAATGGGGCATGCCCCCTCGAGCTGAGGGTCCACAGCTTGGAGCTTTAGCCTATGTATTTTCAGATGTGTCATCTGTTTTAAGGTGGAATGTTAACACCGTGAATCACTTTCATGAGATTGTGGAAAAATACTTCGACAATTTCTATTAACAAATCTGACATTTTTTTCTGCTGTTGGATTTTGCAAGTTTTCATATATTTCTTTTAAAATATATATATTCTAATGTTTTCACATAAAGATGAAAAAAACATTTAGGTTTAAAATTCTATCCACCTCCTTTCTCTACTACTTCTCCGCTGTCTGGCTGCAGGTTTAAAATTAAGAATTTAAAACACCTAGATTCTGCTCTGAATTTTGGTCTTTTTATTCTGATAAAATACAGCTTTTGAATGACTTGATTTAAAAAAAAGGCAATAACTCAAAATCAATAACAATTAGATACAAATCCAAATGGCCCCATATCAAAGAAAACCTATGTGAGGAATACATGGAAGATTAAATGATAAAAATAAAAAAAAATAACAAACAAATTGCAAAAAAAAAAAAAAAAAAAAACAACTGGTGCAGGAGTAATTTTTGACCTCACATATGGAAAAGTGGATTGGTGAGAAAAAAAAGGCAATAACTTAAAATCAATAACAGTACAAATACAAGTGGCCTCATATTAAAGAGAACCTGTTTGAGGAATACATGGAAGATTAAATGATAAAAATTAAAATTACAAACATATTGTAAAAAAATGGCGCTGGGGTCATTTTGACCCCAGGTCCAGTTTGCGTTCACAAAGGTCAAACTCAATCGCTCCAGAAAATGGAACCGAAAGTTCGGTTATTGGTCATTAGTTTATGCAGGAATACAAACCCTGTTCTGCTGTCTTCGCCTGCCATGGAGCATCGTAGGCTGATTTTGCTTTTGCTACTCATCTGGAGCGCGTATCAAAAGACGCTAGTCGATCGCACGTTGTTAGCCAGTGAGCGCGGACTGCGACATTAATTAGTAAATTCCGGAGTAGATGTGCTGCAAACAATGACGTGTGTGGTTCGTTTCCTGTGATTGGTGTGGATGACATTCACATCAGAAATGAACCGCTCCAGAGTTCACTTGTAGCTGTCCGAGACCACCTCTTCAGGCGGACCAGAGTTCGAGGTCAGCGTTCACACCAACCCAAACGAACCGCACCAAGGGATAAATGCTTTTACCGGACTAATCGAGGGTGGTGTGAACGCGCCCTAAGTTGTCCATTATTTTTATACAGTCTGGTTAAACATGACTACCATACATTGGCCAAATTAAAGCTGTTCTCCGTTGTGACTCATATAAAAAAATACCCAAAACTGGAGTTTAAATTTTTGTTTTTATTTTTTTACCTGCTAAATTAATTTAATTTTGAAGAAACACTGATTTGATAAAACTACAATCGTACTGGATATTCAAAGTCTACCGAATGTGTGTTCCACCTTAAGAGGCGGGCTCAGCAGCTCTCGACCAATCAGCGTTCAGTTTGGCGTTTAAATAGCTCTGTGTTTCAGTCATTTTTTTACCTCCCCCCTCCCCAGTCAAGCTTCACCCTCAATCCCTAGTACATCTTTCAATCGCCATATTGGGTACTGAGAAGGTTTGTCTGCCGTTTCTCTCACTACGGACGTTTTGACAGAGCGGCTCCTGTTGCTGTGCACTCTTGTTTTGATGGTCTGTGGAGGAGACGCTTTCCGGCTTCAACACACCGCGGCCGTTACCGTCTCCAGCTCGACGTATGCATGGCATAAGTGGTTTTTACGCTTGTTTTGGATACTGCTCAGCGACAAGGAGATACCCGTTGTTTTTTTTTTCCTCTTGTGTTTTTTTTCTCGTTGAAACTGGACGCTCCCGGCTGTTTGAAAAAAACAAATCTCTTTTCTTCAGGGGGGGAAAATGTCAGATGTTCGGCTATCTAACGGGAGCCCGACGCTGGAGCGGACGGAGCCCCGAGTGTCGGATCCCCCGCAACCGTCGCTGTGCAGAAACCTCTTCGGCCCGGTGGATCACCAAGAGTTAAAGAGGGATTTAAAGAGACATTTGCGGGAGATGGAAGAGGCTGACTCCGCCAGGTGGGGCTTCGACTTCGCCAATCACACGCCGCTTGCCAACGGCAGGTTCGAGTGGGAATTAGTGGATTGTAAAGACGTCCCGAGTTTCTACAACAGACAGCCGCGGAGGGAGAAGGGCGTCTGCTCCGCTGGGAATAACAATGTGGATCTTAATGGGAATCATAACTGTGTTGTGGGGGCTCCGAGTGCGGACAGCGACAGGTCTGAAGCGCAGATGGAGTGCACGGAGCAGTGCACCGGGAGGAGGAAAAGACCTGCATGTCACGGTACTACATTTACTACATATTAACCCTTCTTATTTAACCGAGAGAGAGAGAGAGAGATGGACAGAGGCTTATTGCATCATCTGTCGTCGAAAACAGTATTTGTCTGTACTGGTCAGACGAGCTGTACTGCAACGAAATCGATCAGTCATTCCTTACATTTTGATTTTGGTTGTCTTTGCTGACGGTAAACTTTGCCTTTGCAGACCCCTCTGTCTCTGATGAGGTTAGCTTTCAAAGCCTGAGCCATTCTGCAGAACACACACCCAGAAAGATCAGTCCCAAGAGGCAAACGTGAGGACGAGAAACGGTAAGGATCTCTGTTGAGTTTTAGAGCAGCTTTTTCTTAAATTGAGAGTTTTTCAAATGGGGTTTGGTTGTACGCGATTTGTGTAACTGATAATTCGATGCAAGTGACGTTCCCTCCTGCCAGCTGTTGACAGACAAGCCAGAATTCAGACAAAATAACTCAAAAATATATCTCTTTAGTTAAACTTAAACATAGCTTTCGCAATTCTTGTGAAATAAGGTCTTAAGGTGAATTTCGGGGAGTACCGCTTTGACAGGCAGAGTACTCTCGGTGTTGTCATTCATGTAGTTGTAGTAATAGTTGTAGTGATAGTAGTAGAGGGAGTAAAAGTGGTGAGTTTACATAACCTCTCAGTTGTATTTTTGCACTCTTGCCTGCTTCATTACATCCTGGTAGAACTTAAGAATAAAGTCAGATAAACCGTGGCCTCACATTTCGCACCTTTTTTTCCCCACTCCACGCCACGCAGAGCCCGAGTTTCAGAGTGAACTGTAAACAACAAGTGCTGAACAACAGTGTAGTAGTAACACGTCAGCAGCCACTGCCCTCAGCTCTGCACAGCACAGCAGCGACGGGAAGGGGCTGGTCCCTCTGTCTCTGTGTGTGTATGTGTGTGTATATGTGAGAGAGATAGTGTGTGTGCGTGTGTATGCGCGTGCACGTGTGCGAGGGCTGCACACACTTTGCACACGAATGTTACAACACACGCACTCTCATATCTGTGTGTGCCGGTGCAGAGGAGTCGCGCAGGTCTGAGATCAAGTGTGCTTGTGGGCCACGGTGGAAGGGAACAGGCATGAAATGTGTATTGTTGTGGCAGGGTGGGAGCTGTCAGCAGTAGCTTTGTGTAGATTTAAATTAATTTATTACAGGGTTATCATTCTACATGTAAAAACAAGGTATTGAAGGACACTAAATCCAGCGAGTATATGATTCTCTTTAAGAATGCTTTTCATAAAATTTTTGCAAGTTGTTTTTGTCCTAAAAAAACCCACATAATGGTACAACAGTTCCAAAAATATGCATCCTGCTATTTTTACACTACTAATATTTTGCATACTCACATGGCATACAATTCATGCATCATTTGGTTTTGTCACTGTAAGGAAAGTCTCATTCAACACTTGGTTGATTTTGTAAAAATTTTCACATATTTTCAAATTAATCTTCCTTGCAAATGTGCAACATTGCAAAATCTCGTGTGCACAAATGATTGTTTGCAACATGAATCCCAGTATCATCATCATCTTTACTTCACAGTTCTTTTATTAACTTCTTTTTTTCTTTCCTCTTCTTGCAGAGCTGAAGATGTATTCCCCCTTTTTTACACGGGGAGACCTTAGTGTTGGCTGAATTTTTTTATTTTAATTTTTTTTTTTTGCTTGGAAGAAGAACTACACAGCATCAGAAACATATCAACTCTCCTGAAGACGGGGGAGGACGCTGTTGAAGCACTGAATAGAAACACTAAAGTTGTGGCACTCAATTAAAAAAGTTACTGCCTCTAAAAGCAGTGTATGTAGCAGTGTGCAATTAGGTTTGATTTCCTTTTTTGCTCCTTTTTTTACTACCTGTGTGTAAATAAATATACATATTATAATATTATATTTCTCTCCAAACGAGCACATAAAAAACATTATGATTTGAACACAAATCCTTTATGTTGAAAGGTGTGAATTTTTTTGATTTGACTTGAAGAATTGCAGTGTAGTTTGATACATGTTTCCAAAATGCTGTTCTGTTCTGTTTTTCTTTTTTTGTTTTTTTCCTCCTGAAAGGCAGAGTGACTTTAATACAGTCCCTTATTGTTACATTCAAAACACAATCATGACGTCTTGCAGTTTCCTAACAGTGTGTCTTCACTCCGTCAACTTCCAAACTCTGCAGTGAAGAACGGTACAAATGTAGCTCATCTTATGTTGTTTTTTTTTTCTTTTACTTTTCTTCAACTGTGTCACAAAGTGCAGGTTCTCCTCTTTAAGATTTATTCCCTTGGGAAAATGGAAGGAGAGAAAAAAAACTGCAAGTACTTTCTTTTTATTGCCCAATATTTATTTTGTGAAAGGTGCTTCTTGCATCAGTTGAATCCTGGAATATGATTTTTGATTTGTCTCAAGTTCTCCTGCACACCTCAGCCACATTGTAATGGTGTGTTTGCTTTCCTCTGGAGTTTTGAGGTACTCAGATATTGAAGGACAAAGACCATACAAACAAACTGCACAGGTTGTGTTGTAAACTACACCTTGACTATATTTCTTTTGCTATAACTTAACGCTCTAGAGAAAGAGAGAGAAAAGGTTTTCTGAAAATTGGTTGAATGTCCTACAATACCAAATACATGGTTGCTTCAGTTGCCAACAGCACCGCTTGTGCTCCTTTAATTGACTTCACATTGTGTTACTTTGTGATAACCTCGACTTAAATGATCATGTATGTTTGTGCTTTTTGAATTCCACCCATGTTGTGAGCCTGCTGAGGATGCAAATGTGAGCGTCCAAAAGCCTCCCTTTATTTGCCTAAAAGTGTGGGATATATTCAGAGACCAGTGTACACCAACACAGAGAGAACAGCTTGTCTCAGAAAAATGCAGTCACCATGCCTGTGTATTTGTGTATATCTTTGCAATGTACCTATGTACATAATTTTGTAAAAACACTGAGAAATTATACTAACTTATTTATGTCAAGCTTTTTTATGTAGAATAAAAAATGGGTTTTTGATTACGGTTATCCAAAGTGGCATTTACTTTATTATAATTGTCTTATTTTGTAAAAGCATATTTTTGGTAGTTTTTTTTTTCTTATCAATAAGGCTGCAAACTGAGCCTGAAAAAATATTTGATGTGCATTTTGCAATGTGTGGTTATAAAATGTGTTGCAATCAATTAAAAGAGAAAATTGGATCTATCTGACTGACTTTGTGTTGCTTTTTACACTTGGTGTAAATTCACACTCACATGCTTCCTCTTTTTTAATCTTAACATTTTCAAAGCTGACAGAAAAAAAACCAACAGGAAATGAAGCTGTTTATTTTTTTTTATCCTCATTAAAAATATTTAATGGACCTGCAGAGTGTTTGCAGACATGAAAGCATCCTGGTACAACGTTGTGTCACTCTCGACATGAATCCTCCAGCGTTTTGAGCGGGCTAATGATTGACACTTCTGTCATCCAATGAAAAAGAGGATGGGGAAAGCAGACCACTTGTTGCAGCCAGTAGCGTTCAGTGACTTATCATGGGGAATGGCTCTCATGGAAAAAATGTCAAAGCTTTCAGCTCAGGATACGATCTTCGTCTACAAGGTAAAAATACAACAACTGGAGTTATTTGTTTTATTTTAAGTGTAGCACCGGCCGAGGAAGCATCTGTGCTTTTGTGGGAGTGTGTGAGAATGAGTGTGTGTGAGTGAGTGGGTGTACAAAAAAGGGAGCAAGAGAGTGTTTTACTACTGAGTCTTTGGTGGTGTGTGAAAATATTTTAGTCTTAAATTATTCTTGCTTCTATACACATATTTACTTTTATTTTATGTCATTTTGAAAGTGTTAATGTGCTGTGAGGTTTGGTGAGTTTTAATCCAACTTGGGCAGTGTATCTTTGCACTCTATTAGAAGGTAAAACTGGTTATTTATGGGTTTAAGGATTTGATGGTGAATTAAAGTTTAATTTGTGTTACACCATATTTTTAAAATCTATGTTTAATGTTTTTTGTTAATTATTTGTAGTGACTGATGTGATTCTGTTAACATTTTTGTAAAAAAGAAAAAAAACACAGAAGTCACCAAGCTGCAAAAATGACAGATAATGCTTTTTTTTCCTTTCTTTTTCTTAATGTCTCCCCTATTTTTTATTTTATGTCACGTAAAAACGTCTTGTCACTGTGACTGATGTGCGCCAGCAGCACAGCCCTAATCCCAGGCCAGACGCCCTTTGACCTGCACCAACTTTACTATACATGTGTCTCAGTCTTTGTCATCTTCAACTGTGAAACCCAAAGTCAAGTTCTCATCTCAGCATCTCTCTGATTCTACATCAGCTGCAGACACAGGAAGACACCTGTGGGAGCCCTTTAAAGTTGGATTGGTGTGTGTTTGTGTATGTGTGTGTATGTGAGAGAGAGAGATTAAGGAGTGGGGTTCTGGTCCTGAAGTGTGCAGGTGGGTAACTTCAGCTCAGTCGTATACCCCCACCCAGAGCCCGGCCCATTGTCCCAGTGTGTGGGCCTTTGTGTGGAGGGCCATTGTGAGGGGCCGGGGCCGGTCACTGTTGTGTCTGGAGCTTCTCTCCTCAGACAAAGAGGCCGTCTACGAGCCTCCACCCTGCCCAAACAACACACTGACTGACTGACTGACTGACTGACTGACTGACTGACTGACTGAGTCTGCATCTCGCTGTCAGTCTGACTGACTTAATGGCTGAGCAGGTGTCTGTCTGGTTGACTTATTAATTGGATGAAGTCAGAGAAGGAGGACACAGAGTGTGTTCCAGCAGATCTTCAAAACCCCAAGTTAAAAAAAAATAAGGAGGTTTCAGTGCTCTTTGAAATTTTAAACAACAAAAAGGCATTCAACACATTCTTTCAAAATGCATATTTTTTTGAAATATTTTTAAATCTACACGAGATAATTTTTTTTTACAATTACACTGCTGCTCAGAATCCAGAGATGTTTTTAAGTTTGACCTATGAATAAAGACACCCTGGAAATTATCCAACCACAGCACTTTGAAATGTCAGGAATGCTCCTGATATTTTACAAAGCTGTGATATCCATCTGAACTCCATAATACGAGCACTTTGAGACGGCCAGAATATGGTGTTAATATTTTTTTCCTGATATGACTGATGTCATATTTTAAAAATGAGTCACTATAATTCAAGATATGACACAGAGGCATATTTGAATATTTTATTTAATATGTACAAAACATCCACACTCACTATATTATGTGAGAGAAATTATTCTTGGTTTTGGTCCTGATATTAAGCATATTGATAGATCTCTATATATTCTACATTGTAGAGGAAAACCCCAGTGTTGCAGTTTGGGGTTTTTGAGTCATTTGTAGCTAAAAAAAATATTTCACAAAGTTTGAAGAGACAATTCATCAAAGAGTGCACACTGTTGATATCATCATTACAGTCATTTTACGACAATCCAAAAAGGTTTGATTCAGAAAAGTGTAAATCCGGCCTGAATTGCTGATGCTGATTGTTGTGTGTGAGTGTGAGTGTGTGAGAGTGTGTGAGTGTGTGAGAGAGAGGGAGAGCCAGAGTGAGAGCACTGCATGGCTGCAGGGGGATACCCATGCTATGGTGGTAAATTCTTTAAAAATCGTATTTTTATTCTTGAATGAGCACATGACTGTAATGTGAAAGATGTAAATTAACAACCTGTCATTAGTGGAGTTAACCGTGTGTGTTTTCTTATTTCTCCAGGCAGTGGAAAGTTCAAACTCAAGACAGGGATTTAATTTTTTACACACAGTGACTAAGAAGTGTGATGTTGTTGTAAAAGTCAGTTTATGTTGTTTATGAATTGTGTGTAATTTACAAATTTTTGTTGATTTTTTCGCCTAATTTTTAGTGTTATTTTTTTGCATGCATACAATCTTATAATCATTTCAGTCTAAGCTTTGAAAAAGTGGCTCACTCTGGAGAACTGCTGACAAACTCCTTTTACACAGCTGTCTAACAGGGTGGCGTGTTTCGGCCTGACTTTAACCGTTTGTTAGTCTGACATATAAAAACAGCTCCTGCCATCATTATCTAAGAGGTCACTGATGAGTCTAAACTGCGTGACCCCTGTGGTGCATATCTGTGCATGACAAACACCTTTTTTGTTTCAGCAGCAGCACCAGTCCCCGAAAGCATTCCTGCAACACTCCATCACAGCCACCCAAACAAAACCACGGAGGGAACTCGAGGAAATTCCAGTGAGCCGCTCAATCAGAGACTGTGGAAGGCCTCGTCGGCCTGCGAACATCTCGCATGTGCCAAGAATTCACACTTCCTCGCTATATCAACAGAAACAGGTTATCTTTTCCTGTTAACCGCCTGCCACTTAATATAAAGTCACAAGTTCCTCCCCGTGTTTCCTGCCCAGACCACAACCCACGTCATCGAGCTATTCCCCTGGCACCGCAGGCTCTGAATGAGGGGAAAGCAAGTGCCCACAAACAAACACCTAACATCCCTCTTTCTCTTTCTCTCTCTGTCTCTTTCTCATTTTTTTTTCATCTCTTGGAGCAGGCCAAATCTGATCTAAATCGCTGTATTTTTTCCGTTACTCTGACTGTTTCGGTCTGCCTGAGATGTAGGTGGAGCTTGCTTGTTTTTTTTTTTTTTTGGAGCAGTTCAGTTGAACTCGGCTCGCCAAGAAAGCTGTATCAATACAGGAAAAGTATTTCATTGAAAAGCTCTGACGTCACATTGGTTTTTGAAACGCTGCGGTTCATGTGAGAAGAGTGTGAGAGTTTTAGGATGAGTGACAGGCAGACAGGAGGGGGAAGGGAAGTCAGGGAGATGCTGCAGAGCATCGAATGACAGATGTGCAGATGTGCGTCCGTGGTGCGTTTTTTCAGGGAAGAAAAGTGAGGGTTGGGGTGGAGGGGGGTTGGTGGTGGTGGTGGTAATGCTCATTAAAGCAGCGCACCTGCAGCCTATCAAAGAGCCTTTATCTTTTATCAAGCAAATCTGCTCAAGCACGCAGCGCGAGACGTGAAAACAGGCAGGCTGTGCTGCACGCTCACCCTGACTCTCTCTTTTCTTTCTTTCTCTCTCTTGACCAGTGGATGGTACCTGGCCCAGTAATCCCATCAGGAATGTCGGAGGATGCGTTCAGATGCATTTGGCTGAGAAAGCAGGGCAGCACTTCCAACTGAAACATCTGTACAGGTCAGAAGAGAAACTTTTTTTTTTTTTTTGTGGAGATTTCATTCAATTTAACGGGGCAAGCATTTAAATCTCTCTCTGTATATGTAGATACACTGTGTTTGAATGTCTAATTAGCATGAGCAATACTGCTGTCCACTATGGGCTGTTTCATGTGTGGTAGTCTTCTCATAGAAGGCGCAGTCTTGTGTAATATTCCTTTAATCATTATTATTACAAACTGCTATTACGTAGCACATCATTGCAAATATGTGGTAGGATATAATCGAATTACATGACTGGTGCAACTGATGTGTAATAACATAACTCTTCATAAAACCAAGATCATGTGATTAAGACACTTTTTAATGGACAGCTGTTTTAAATATGAAACTGCCTTGGTTTTTGTTGTTTTTTTTTCTTTTGTGAATTTTCAGACACTTCTATTGATGTCACCACGTATTCTAAAATTTATTTTCATCTGTCCTTCGGCTGCCGCGATTTTTCCATTAATCGATTAAAGTTCAACCGGCAAAATGGTTTACAACTTTTTTAGTAATCGACGTAATCGTTTTTGTTTTTTTGCTTTGTTTTTCTCTCAAAAGTGCCTCGGTTTCCTCCACTCATAGTCTCGGCTGTGTGTGCCTCCTGGACGCACATGTGCATATTTTTTTAACCTTTATTTAACCAGTTTTGTCCCAATGAGATTAAAAATGCTAATGCAAAAATTAAAAATATACGATCTGAGTATTCGACTAATCAACAAAATAATCGTTGTCATGACGATTATCTGATTAATCATCTCTGGCAGCCCTAATCTGTCCTTGTTTTTGTCCGTTATCAAGCTACTGATTTGTACTTCTTTGAAATTACTGCAGAGCTGTATGGTGCAACACTTCCCCCCACCACCGATAAACGACTACAGATACTGCAAAAAAAAAAGTCAGTTCTCTAACCGACCCTCTTTTGGACATCTACAGTCATCTAAGGCCAATTACAGTATTTATCACAGTGCATATAATTTACAGTGTGATAGCAACAAAATGTAGATTATGTCTTCTTTCTGCAAATATATAACTAAGGCCCAAATGTAGAAGCCTGAGTGCTGTATGCCGAGGATCACAGATATGGAGTTAAACAACAAACTAAAAATGTCACTTTCTTTTAAGAAGAACATAAAGGAGCAGGTGTTGCTGCTGTGTGTACTATCAGGTTTTCTTATTTTGTGTTTTTGTGCTAAATGAACTTTTCTTTTTCATGTTTTCTTATGCAGGAATATCAGAGGGCCTGAAATGCTTTTTGGTGCCACTGGTGAGATATGAGACTCTACACCATTGTATCAGAGTTGGGCAAATATTGTGTTCACAGACTTTTGAAAGGTGTTGTGGGATGTCCTTTTCATGTCTGTTTTTTGCGGTTGTATTTTTGGATTACTAAGTGTTCTCTGACATAAATACAAAATAAATCTATTAGTCAGTAACATCTGTCTGATTCCTGCAGGTCCTCCCATATATAAATTAGGAGCAAAATGTCATAATTTATCTCAAGGTAGTGTGAAGAAATCTGTTGGTCAGATTCATCATTGAAACACTCCTTTGCTCACCCTTCCCGTAAGTAAAGCAACAGTGACAGAAAACAAGAACCTCCCATGATGCATGATCGGTATTATCCTTGTTTGTCAAGGTTTTACTTTCAGTGTCTAACAAATACTCAGTGAAAGTGGACTGACCTCTATATAGATAAAAAATTGATTCTATGTCATCAAAAACAAAATGATTTTATACTCAGTTGATTTCACAGTTATTTAAACTTTTATCCAATTACACCAAGTCGGTTCTGTGAAATGCTGTACCTTTTCTCAGACTTCACACTGTTCCTTAAAATATAGCAAACTAATACAAATTCAAACATTTTAGCTGCTCTTGATTTTCATCTTGAGTAACAAAGTTGAGTCCAAAAGTTTCGGTGAAATCAGGTTTTAATTTTTTTACAAGATCAAAAATCAGTGAGAAATGTCCCCCACAGGTTCCTGTAGTCAGTCTTTAAGGGGTTTAAGAACATGCTGTAAAAAACTGATGAAAGTAAGACTTTTTAGTGTCTGAAAAGATAAAAACGACATACTTTTTTGTACATAATGATGATTTTTGTCGACAGTTTCAAAACATTTTAAAGCTCCTATGACGTGGTTTTAGTGTTTGTGAAATAGAAATTCAAATCAATGCCTTATCATGATAATACAAAGCAAACAAAATTCTCAAGGACATGATTGGATGGGAAACTAATGCAAGTGGGTGGAGGTCAGCCTAACAGCTGAAGAAACAGACCATCTAAAAAAAAATCACACAAAATATCCGCAATGAATGGAACATTTCACTGTCAAAGTCAGCAGGATGTGATATTTTGGTCTAAAATCACACACAGCACAGCTCAAGTATGTGGAGGACAAAAAACATTGTCCACAAGGGGCGCCAAAATGGACACAAACCAAAGGACACAAACGATTTCATCGATACTTTGATTTAAATGCATTATTATACAGTTTAGCCAATTCAACCTATTAGGGCAAGGTTTGAAATTTACAATATGTTCAGTCCTGCAGACACTAATACCTGGATTTATCATTTGCTCTGCAGTCTGAGTTTGCAGTATGGAGTAATTTGTGTTGTTTAACTTTTTGTTCAGCGATTGTGTTAATCAGCAGAGCTGTCCTTCATAGAGTACATGATGACAGTCCGGGTGTGTTCGGAAGTGACGCCAACTTAACGTGATGCAAAAACATTTCCATATGATGCAACTCTGTGAACATTTGAGAAACGTATGCGGCAATAGTTTCATTGAGTCAAAAATATATCTTACAACACTGACTACAGTATACATCCAATTACATCTCATCCACTGAGCCGGCCTGCCCTTAATGTCTAAACCAACGACAGGGGAAACACTGCTGCTTCGAATGACACGAGATGGAAAATTGTCTTCAGGCTTGTTTTGGATCGGCACCAGAAATGCATCAACTTTCCACTTTTCATGAGCAATAAAGCAGCCCACAATTCATGTGAATATACCCCTTTCTACATTTTTTTTAAATCTGTTTTTTTTATTCTGGTCCTGCTTCTGCTGCCCTCATCAAGAGACTCGTGGGGCCTCTGCGCCGTGCACGATCCTCGGTTCTGGTGTTGAAAAGATTCCTGCCATGAGAATGAGTGAACATGTTCTCCAACACAGGGCCTGATGAGAAAAGCAGGCTCTTCCCGCATATGAAACCTACCTCCGCATTTGGGCAGCCGTGAATGTGGTTCATTGGCTTTCCTAATGTTCAATTTTTCACTCTGTATTCAATTTTCACTCTGCAGAATATGGTGTTGCTGTTTCAGGGATTTAAAGACACTTTCCTGTGAAACTAAAACAGAAGGAAAGTTTTGCACATATCTGTATCATCTGCTTAAGCGAAACCTTCACACACCATTTCTTAGAATTTGTTTTCTTTGTAAAAAGAAATGTCTCATTATGAAACCACTCTACAATTTTTCTAAGTAATTCTCAGCTCTGTTTTCACTTCCCTTTTCTTGTTAAAAATACTTCTACACATCTAAACATAACAGCAGAGTGACGTCCAGAGCTTGTACAGCACATCACGTCTGTTGTTTTGAAGTAACAGGCCCCCCTTTCCTCTCTTACAGTAGCTCCGTGGTGCAGCTGTCCACCATGCCTGACATTCTGCCTCGGCGGGCCAAACCCCAGCACACCACTGAAGTCCTTCCAGTTACTTGCCTGGAATTCTCCCTCTGTCTGGGGGGAAAAGTCCATAATAATATGACCTATATAGCTGGCTCTCCTTGTGCCCACCCCCCTCGAAGTGTGCACAGACCTCTGCACAAATCCGCAGCAGCCGTAGCAACACATTAGCAGCAGTCACACTTAGCGTAGCCGGGGCTGGGAGGGGTTTCGGCGACTGCTCTGGACCCAGGATGTGTAACTGAGCGGCTTAGACGGATCTGAAGGGACCTGGTTTGTGCTGTTGTTCTTGGCTGCTGAGTTTTCCTCTTCTGGGTCCAGAGAGGGAGGCAGGGAGGGGTGGGCATGGAGAGCTACAGGCATATGGTGGAGAGAAATCTCGTAAGGGCAAAGGTCACGGGGGGGTCAATCTAACCTTCTGCCCTTTGGTTGATTTATTATCCCATGGGGTGATGCCGCTTTGTTCAGACCGAACAGAGCCAAGGTCAAAGGGGGTACTGTATCTGCTGCTGTGGTAAAACAATGCAAAGAAAAAAGTTTTGAAGTGGAGATGAGGTGAGTCAATACTTAGGTGTAACCTGAATAACACTGTCTACTCCTGACCTTGGTAAACCCACTCACATATCAAACGGCCTCCTCACCATAACCATAAAAATGGCTTAAATCCTTTTTTTTAATGGCCAATCCTAATTCTACAACATAAACCAAACGCTATTAATCTAAAAAACTCCCTTTGGTTCCAGGTGGAGTTGGTGTTTTACTATTTGGAGCACATTAATGTGCAACTCTAATGGGATCACAGGTGTGTGTTTATTGAGTGTTTTATGATTGTTTCAAGCCAAACTAAGCCCATCAGGACAAACTAGGAAAGTCTGTATTACACTCAAAGACCAAAAATAGGAATTTAAACTATTCTGTAGCAAAGAGGTGCATGCTGGGAGAGGGAAAGGAGCTGCAACAACTGTTCTCCAGGCAACTGCCACCCCTGGCTATTTAGGGACGACTCCTGACAGAGAGGCTGGCATCAGCTGCCGCTCACATTGTTTGTCACAACCTTACTTGACACAGTGCAAACACACACACACACGCACACACTCACACACACACCTGTTGACTCATATCTGCTTTCATACAGCACTGCTGGGCCTTTACATGCCGGGGCCCCCACAGACAGGTGGTTTCCAAAGCACCCCCATGGTGGGCAGGCACAGCCGGACCACCACCCACTCACCAGCTGAGCCTGTGGGGTTGTTTTCTAAAAATGTAAGAAGCAACCAGATTACCCATATGAGGCCTTCGTAGGTACATAATGTGGGCAATTTAGACAGTGACGTTTACTCCTTCTTGAAACCAAACACCCCCACATGGCTTCTTTAATCTTTGACAGGATACACCCAATCTGTTTTATGTTCTCTTTGTGGTTTGACAATAACTGAGGAAAATTCATTCTAATATTTATAATACATATATTCTAATATGATATGATAATCTTATTTATTTGGTTATGATGTTAGCTGTTTATACTGCTAAAGGGGTAATCTTTGTAATTCCATAGTTGGTAATGTTGCTATGGCAACAGATTCTGATTAACTGGTGTACATCAGAATCAGTGACCAAATAAATGTCTGATTATTATAATTACTCACACTGCCAGGCTTTTTGTCTTCAAAGAGCTTTGAAGTGTGGAAGACAAGAACAGCCATGGATTTTTCTTTTGAATGTTCTGTTATCTTGTGATAATGAATTATTATCTCATTATCTTGATGTAACAAATTATGTTTCCTCATGAATATATAATTTTTTTCATTATCTCGACATAACTAAGATCATTTTCTTGTGCTAATAAATTAACAAGTAATGTACCCGTTATTGTGACTGTTGTTTTTATGTGTACACTATAAATACTATGACAGTATACTATGACACTTTTATCGTACAATACTATGATACTTTTATCATACTAAACTATGACATTTTTATCATATTAAAACTGATTTTTTCATACTAAAATTTGGAAATTTTTATTTTAGTTTGCTATAACATTTTTATCATACTATACTATGATATTTTTATCATACTATACTATGACGTTTTTTCGCACTAAAAAATTTAAATTCTTATCATAGTATACTGTGACATTTATATCATACTATACAATGACAATTTTTTAAAATATTATATGAAATTTTTTCGTACTAAAATTTAAATTTTATCATACAGTACTATGACTTTTCATACTAAAATTAGATATTTTCATAAAAGTATACTGTGACATTTTTATCATCTTACACATTTTATACATTTATACATTTTATACATCTTAAACATTTTTTATCACATTGATATTTTTACATAATTTTTGTCATACTATACTGACTTTTTAACATACTATACAATCATTTTTTTCTAACTTAAATTTGAATTTTTTTCATACTGTGCTATGACTTTTTTCAAACTATAATTTTAATTTTTTATAGTATACTATGATATGTGAATCATACTATACTGATGGAGCTAGGGTTAGGGTTAGGGTTAGGGTTGGAGTTAGGGTTGCAGCTAGGGTTAGGGTTAGGGTTGGAGCTAGGGT